TAAGAGGGAAAACACAGAGAAGGGCCAAGTGCAAGATGCAAAAATTAAAAAAAACAAGAAAGAAAGCTAACTTCGGCACGCCGAAGTTTGTATACCCTTGCAGATTGGTTTTCATATTTATGTCATAAATTATAATGCCGAAAACAGACACTAAACTGAGTTACATACCATTTTACCTATACTTATTATGTTTGCAGTTTGACAGTTACAGTTATACATTCCCAGCTTTACATTTTCTCTACATCTGATCGCTTCTATGGCTGCTATATGATATAGTTGTCCGACTTTCATAAAATGTATACCAAAATTCTATAATAATAAGTAAAGCTCATATCTCAGAGTAGATGAAAATACATTGAAAAACAACGAAGTTATAATTTTTTCTATTACTTTCCCTATCGTTCCTATGGCAGCTATAAGATATAGTCGTCCGATTGTCATAAAATTTTTACCAAAATTTTGAAATAATACCAGAAGCTCATGTGTCAAAGTAGATTAAAATACGTTGAAAAACAACGAAGTTATAATTTTTTTGATTAATTTCCCGATCGTTCCTATGGCAGCTATAAGATATAGTGGTCCGATTTTCATAAAATTTTTACCAAAATTCTGGAATAATATAAAAAGGCTTTATCTCAAAAATGATGGAAGAATATTGAAAAACAGCCAAGTTAAAATTATTTTTCTAAAAATTTATTGAACATTTGTATGGCAGCTATATGATATAGTCGTCCGATCCGGCCCGTTCCGACATATATAGCAGTGAGAGTATATAGAAGACTATATGCAAAGTTTCATTCAGATAGCTTTAAAACTGAGGGACTAGTTTGCGTAGAAACGGACAGACGGACGGACAGACGGACAGACGGACAGACGGACAGACGGACAGACGGACGGACAGACGGACAGACGGACGGACAGACGGACAGACGGACATGGCTAGATCGACTCGGCTGTTGATGCTGATCAAGAATATATATACTTTATAGGGTCGGAAACGTCTCCTTCACTGCGTTGCAAACTTCTGACTGAAATTATAATACCCTGCAAGGGTATAAAAAGAAAAGAAAATGAAAGAAAAGAAGCAAGGACAAGGCAAAAACTAACAGCCCGGGCAAATAAAGAGAGCAAGGAGCGCACACAAATTAGCTAATGTTGGATAAAGCCAAAGTCAAAACCAATTCCATTCCCTCAACTTCTCCAAGTGTCCGCACTAAGAGGGAGACGGCGACAGGGTATCCCCAACTCATTCACCCGGTTACCCCCGGCCATCCGCAATTGGGTCAGCTAACATTTGGAGCAAATGGCCAAATGGCCAAATGGCCAAATGCGACGGGCCGTGACAGAAGCATGAAAAGTGCTTTAAACAAGCATTCAGCGGAGATCTCCTTAAATTTGATCAGGACACACTTGGGTGTGAGAGGGATGACCTTTTCAAAAAACTCACAAATTTTGATACTAAACAACACTTTTACTTTAACAAAAACACTTGACTTTAACTGTGGTAAAAAAGGGAAAAATATATTTAAATAGTTGTAAAAGCTGTAATTGCTCTTTAAAGATAGTTTAAATAAATAAATTAAAGGGTATTTTGAGGAGGACTGATGTAAAAATGAATAAAAATGAACCAAAATTAATAAAAATGAATAAAATAAAGTATTTTAAGGAGACTTTTCTTGGACTGTTGTAAAAAAATTAGTAATAATGAAAATAATAATAAAAAAAAATGAAATAAAATGAATAAAAATAAGTGAAAAAATTAATAAAAATTAATAAAAATGAATAAAAATAAATAAAAATGAATAAAAATTAATAAAAATGAATAAACATATATTAAATTCATTTTTAATAATTTATTAAAATTTCCCTTTAAATAAATAAAATAATTACTATTTTCAGGATAATTTAACCACTGAAAAAAATAAATTAAATATACTTTAATCTCTCTAAAAACTGTAATTTCTCCATAAAGATAGGTTAAATAAATAAAGAAATATTTATATTAATCTAAATAATACATTTCCTTAAACAAATTTTGATAGTAAATCCTAATTATTATTTAAGTTGACTTTTCTTTACTATTATTTTTAACCCGTTAATAACAACTTATAAATAAACCCTTTTAAGCCATTAATTATTCTACAATCTCCCTCACAAAACTACATTACCCCCCAAATTGAATATAATTTCACTTACTTTAAGTTGAATTTCCAAATACCCCAGACTTTCAATAGTATTCTCCTGGCTGATTTACCAACTGACATGGCCAAGCTGGCAAGTAATTCGATACGATTTTCCAAATTGATTGTCCTTTGTGCTGACGCTTTTTCAGGTAAGAGGTGAGACAATTATTTACAAAGAGTCAGTTCCCATTTGTGACTGACACAGTTGATCCCAATGCCTGCCGATGCCATCCTTTCCCCCCTTCGGACAGGATTCAAAGGCAAAGGCAAACGGGGCTATTTGTTAGCATTTTGCAGTCATTACACAATCCCCAGTAGTTAGTTGGCCCAGCAGGCAGTCCATAGCCTTTAATTAATGGCCACTTTTGGGAACAGTTGGCAGTTTCTAATTTCAAATAAATAAAGGCAATCCCCCACTGGCTGGGCAGGACTCTCATTGCCCCATTCTTTACCCTATCATTGCAATTTGATTTGGCCTCAAAATCCATCGAATCGTATGGCAACCTATTTATATTATTTATTTTTTTTTATTTCTGTAACTGATTTCAGCTAGCCTCTAATGATTTTTTTTTTTTGTGAATATTTTCACCAGCAATTCTAGGCTTTCGTTGAATATTTTAAAAATGTATTTGGTGTCTATAATTAATAATGATTTAGCTACCAATTTAATTCACCAGCTGACTTATAAGCCTCCCATAACACGTGGCCTCAATGGCAGTCAGGATAACAACCTTTGGTTGGCCTTTTCCTGGCTCCCAGAGAGCTGACTGACTTCCGGTAGCCGCCATCTTGTGTGGGTCACATTTTCTGCATGCATTAATTTACAATTACGATAGACCGATGACAGCTGCCACCCCTTTTGATCCAGAGACCGAGACCGAGACGGAGACGGAGTCGTGGGGGCTACATAAATTATTATCCGCAAAACGAAATTCAGCAAAATTATTCTGGAATTTCTATAAGCCAAAGCCCAAAGTATCCCCCGTTGGTTCCATTGCCTTTTTCGATGACTTTTCCGCCCTAAACGATTCGGGTTACAAAGGCGACCCTTTGCCCCACTGCAGCTCCAATTGCCAAAGGTCAAAATAATGTCCTTATTTCTCCCCCAGGTGGGCAAAAATCTGTCAGTCGTTGAGCTAGACATTTGAAATTACTACGACGACGACGACGAGGACAACGAAGACGACGGGCTTTGTGCGGCAATTAAATGAATCCCTGCCAAGGATGCCCCACTGCATGGGAAGCCGCAAGGATGTCTGGTAAACGCTTGACCAATAGCGTCAATCAATTACTCCATTTGAGGGAATGCAGCTGCACTGGCAGCTTCCCGTCAAAGGGTATTTCTGTGGGCGGACACCGGGCGTGCCTCAGTATATCCTGAGGTGGCAGGTGTTGATTGGTCAGAGAAATACCAAAAACAATCAGGGAACAAGCTAAAAACCTTTAATAGCTAGATTTAATTTGGGTCTTAAATTGAGGAAAATGTATATTTTGATTGCAAAGGTAACCCAATAGTAAATATTGAGACATTCTGTGGATTAAGTAAACTCAAATGGACAAATAATTAGTACTTATGCAGGTAAAGGTAAACAATGTCAAATGTCAAAATAATAGATTCCTTTTTCTGTATTCTTCACCAGATAAAAGTCCTTCAATTCATATTTATTTTCAAATATTTCTAGTATTCAAAAGCGAATTTTTTTTAAGTAATTAAGAACCAAGACTTGACTAGATCTTGTTGCCTGAAAACGCCAGCCAAAAACATAAGTTTATACTTCTTAAGATAAAAAATAACCAACTTTAACTGAAACTGGCAGAATAGGGACAGAAAAATACCGCTGAATCGGCACCTCTTTCACACGACCTTGACTGCAGCTCACTGAAAAAAAACAAGCAGGCCAAGGCCCAAAAAAAACATGTCTAGGCGAAAAGTTTGCGACTTGTTTTTATGCTAGATGCGAAAAAAATGTGAGAGTCAATTAATTACAAACAGGCGAGCACACACAGAAAACTCTGGCGAAGCACGTATAAATATAAGAAAATACACAGGAAGAAATCTAGAGTAATATTGATAATTTAATATAATAACTATAACTTTAAGCTAAAATAAATAGATTTCTTATCTTGTCAAAATCCAATCTCAAAGTGTATTTATTTCCTGAATTAATTTCATAAATCAACAATTGATCTCTCAGTGTATACAAACACTCACACACACACGCACATACACATACATCATGTTGGTGCGTGCCTTTGTGTAGCATACAATTCGGGGCCATTCGAATTCGAATTTTTATGGCCGAAAATGTATGCATTCTCCACTTTGTGTTAGTATGTGTGTCAGCACGAAATTGGTAACACAAGAGACCACAAATGCCATATGGCCAAATACTATATACTGACGATGATCCAACATATACATATATAGTATCTCTTCAACTGTGTGTGTGTGTGTGTGTCCGCATAAATAAGCAAACAAATGAACGTCTAATGAGGTCAGAGAACGGGGCATTGGCCAAGTCCCCGACCATGTCCAACCCAATAAAAGTTACACTCGGCATGTGTGAAGATGCTAACTGTCAATGCACTGAGAGAAAAATGAAAGAAAGTAGAAGAATTTAAAAATAATTTTCAGATGTCTAGGAATCATTTGTCTTTTAGGAGGTCTTGACTTGTAGGAGTTTAATAACTCTCATAAATGTCTGGTATAATGGTATATAGTATATATATAGTACATATTATATAGTATTACTTGGTATATATGTATGTATATATATATTTTAGTCTTAACTTGTAATATTTTCTGTTGGCACTTACCGTAAACTGCTTGGCCAACAATTAGCAACATTAGCAGCGAACAGCAGCGTGGGCGGCTATGGATTAACCTTTGATTTTCTTCTGCTATTAGTTGATGTTTTTGTTGTTGCTGCTGCTGCTGCTGCTGATGTTGTTGCTGCCTGATGTAGCCGCTTCTTCTTCTTCTTGGCATTTTGCGAGAGGTTTGCCAGCTTCAGTCTTATTGTTTCCCTGTCTCTCTCTCTCTCTCTCTCTCTCTCTCCCTCTAAGCCCTTTGCTCCGTCTTGCTCACAGCCAGAGTCCTTCACACAAGTAACTGTAAAATATAGAGAAGAAAAATAATATGAAGAAACAGCAAGAGAACAGACAAAAGTCTAAGGTACACCTAAAGGCAAGACAATAGAAGTAATATTCTAGAAAGCATTTTAAAAAATATTCTACAAAATATTCTAGAAAATATTTTAGAAAATATTTTAGAATTTTATTTATTAAAAATATACAAAAATATTTATTTAAATATTTCCTTTTAAATTAAATACATAATTAGTTATCCATTTATTTATTTAATAATTTATTTTAAATATTTTAAAGTATTATTCTTTTTAATTTGTTTGTCTTACAAAAAACAGTAATATATACATTTTAAATTTCCAATACTTTTTCTTCCCTAACATCTTGCCCCATAACTCCACATGGTAGCAGCAACATAACGGAAATCCAATTGAAGCCAAGTGTAAGACAATTGCTGGGAGTTTGTTCAAACAATTTTGGCGCTCCTTTCGTCGTTGGCAACAAATGAGTTTCTCCTCAAATTGAGTTTTCGCCGCTGGCGAAATGTCAGCACCAAAAATAAATGATAATCCCATCAAGTGTCGAGAAAGTGTATTGCAATTTTCTTGGAATTTGTTAAAGGATTTCAATAGAATTAAAGGCGAAAAAGGGAAGGATGGCTGAACGAATGTGGGTGTTGATATGGTATTTTGGAATTTAATTAATGGAAAAAGACAATACACTAAAGTTGCCATGGTAAAAGGGAATTTACAGATGAACACCTGTAGGTACTCTCTGCATAGATTAAACTTGATAATAAAGTTTATAATAAAGTGATTTCCATTGAATGTTTTAGTTTATTAGTAGAAAATCTACAGCTTTTAGCATTCAAGGATTTTTAAAGTGATTTTTTGTGGATGTCATCCTTTGATAAAGGTAAGCTCCTGGACGCACATATCCTTCTTTCTTTCTTCCTATTTTTACCCATTTTTTGGTGGAGCCTACAGTGCACTTGGAGTGACCCAAATATTTGGGTGGCCTTTTTTTTTTTGCTTGCGGCAACGACGACTGACTGCCACGCCCATCCGCCTATGCAGACCAAACCGGACCGGACCGGACCCCCTTTTTGGGAAACCGCCAGTCGCCACCCCTGCGGCGCCATAAAGCATGACCCAATTGAATTGTTACGCTCGTGCTAATAAAATTTTATGTGCGGCTATTATTAGGCTCTCGTGTCTGTTCGTGTCCTGCGGCCCCGCAACAAACAATGTCACTTAGGATCCTTGGGCTCTGCTATTTGAGCACAGGAAGAAATTTAAATTTTAAAAAATTATAGCACTTTGCCTAGAAGATTAAAAAAAAATGTATTGTAATTAAATTATGTAGAAGGTGGGTTATTTCACTTCTCTATTCGACTCGCCACAACAAAATAAATCTCTCAGACAAGAACTTTATGTTAAATTACATAGGCTTAACATAGTATTCGTGTATTCGTATTAATATCTGTAAATCAGTGTGACCAGCCTACTACAATTATTAGGAAAAAATATACAAAAATGTGCTATTAGTTTTGTTCATTGCAAATCATCAGTTTTCTTTTATTTTTAATTTTTTTAACTAAAAAAAAAAAAACACATAAAATAATATAAATAAAAATATTTATTATAAAAAATTTATCAATATATAAATATAAAATTTGTTTTATGGCGATATCTCAATTTTTAGTAGAGAACAAGAAAGGAAGCTAACTTCGGCACGCCGAAGTTTGTATACCCTTGCAGATTGGTTTCGATGTTTATATTATAGATTTAAATGCTGAAAACGCTCACAAAACAGAGTTTCATTACATTTTACCTATACTTATTAAGTTTACAGTTTGACAGTTACAGTTTTACATTCCCAGCTTTACATATTTTATACATTTACCGATCGCTTCTATGGAAGCTATAAGATATAGTTGTCCGATTTTTATGAAATTTATACCAAAATTCTAGAATAATAAAAAAAGCTTATATCTCAGAGTAGATAAACATACGTTGAAAAACAACGAAGCTATAATTTTTTCCTATTTATTTCTCGATCGTTCCTATGGCAGCTATATCATATAGTCGTCCGATTTTCATAAAATTTTTACCAAAATTCTGAACTAATAAAATAAGCTTATATCTCAGAGTAGATAAAAATAGTTTGAAAAACAACGAAGTTATAATTTTTTTTCTATTAATTTCCTGCTTGTTCCTATGGCAGCTATATGATATAGTCGTCCGATTTTCATAAAATTTTTACCAAAATTCAGAAATAATATAAAATGGTCATATGTAAAAAATAGTGCACATATGTTGGAAAACAGCTGAGTTATAATTTTTTTTCTAAAAATTTATCGAACATTTGTATGGCAGCTATATGATATAGTCGTCCGATCCGGCCCGTTCCGACATATATAGCAGTGAGAGCATATAGAAGACTATATGCAAAGTTTCATTCAGATAGCTTTAAAACTGAGGGACTAGTTTGCGTAGAAACGGACAGACGGACAGACGGACAGACGGACAGACGGACAGACGGACAGACGGACATGGCTAGATCGACTCGGCTGTTGATGCTGATCAAGAATATATATACTTTATAGGGTCGGAAACGTCTCCTTCACTGCGTTGCAAACTTCTGACTGAAATTATAATACCCTGCAAGGGTATAAAAATTGCTTCAAAGTTTGTCTTGTTCTGTTTTAATTCAAATGTATGTATAATCTTAAAAATGTAATTGTATATTACTTCTTATAATTAAACTTTAATTAATTTTTAATACAAAATCTTGTCTTAAAGTTACAATTTTTTAATTCTAAGGCAGAGTCTAAGATTTTCTAAGCATATTCCCTATGCATTTTCCTATTTTGTAGAATTTATTATTTAAGTTTATTCATTTTAATTTAAGAAGCATCCCTTTAAATACTATTTTATTTATAAAAAATATAATATAATACATTTATGAAAGAATTACTTCAAACCTTATTTTTAGTGTACTTTTTCAATGCGGCTGAGGTGGGGCTTTCGGCACTTTCACTTGTGTTTTTGCTGTATTATTTCTTGCCAATGCGACTGTTGAAATTTTATTTTGATACTCTGCTGTGTTTTTAAGGCGAAACTAATTTGTTTCCTGTATCGATTGTGGAAGGGGGGGTGAAAACAAAGAATATAAAAAAAACCAAAAACCCAACAAAACAAAAACCAAAATCGTTAGTCGCGACGGCGTCCGAAATTTATGCATAACTTTGCTCTTTGCTCTCCGAATCTTTGATAACCAAACGCTTTGATTACACGCCCCGCCGCCCAATCGTCGATTTATCCATTCCTTTTTTTTTTTTTTGTGTCGCCCACGCAATTTTCCACTTTATTCTCTGCATGTTTTTCGCATTTTTTGCGCTTCAGTTGTCTTAGGCGATTCCTCGTGGCGTTAAGTACTCACAAAGAGCAGCAAAGCGTCCCACAACAAACCGAAAGGGAATAACGAGGCAGAATGGCTAAAAACAGAGGCTACTTCAAAAAGGGAGGGGAGGTGGAGTCCTTGGGGGGAAAGCTCATCCTCCAGACAAAAAGGACGCCCTAAATCCAAACTCAAGGATCAGCCCAGGACACTGTCCTGGACTTTCATTAGCCCGAAATACAACCGAAAAAGTGTGTGCAATTGACGCAAATGTCTGGTGTCATTTGTGGGCAAAGCAATCGGTCCGGATTCCAGCACGAAATGTTCAAGGTAGATAAAGGATTTTCCATGGAAATAGCCTGCTCAGACCAATAAAAGCGAGCATATTGCGGGAAAAGGAGCTCGAATTTAAAGGGATTTTAAGTGGCATATATATATATATATTTTTTTTTTAATGCCAAGAATATAACAATGATTTTATTTAATTTTTTCTGGTTAGAGAAGACACTTTAAAAGCAATAAAAAAGGGAAAATCATTTATTAAATTTAAAATAATATAAATCTGAAACTTTTTCATATATTTATACCTAAAATTCTTTTTTAAACTTAATTAACTTCATCAACACTTTGATCCAAGCAATATTCTGCAATTTAAGACGAAAAATATTGAAAAATCATTAAGTACACAAATATTTTTGACTTTAATTCGATCAAAAGGGTTTGCCGGAATGTTAGATTTTCAATGACAGTTGAAAGAGACACACAAAAACTTTCACAGCAACATGGAGCCGTGGTTTTGGAGCCAGGCCACATATGCATATTCTCATCAATTTGCCATAATTTACATTTGCCAGATATCTTCTCGTTGTGCTCGTTGTGCCCCCCGGAAAAGTGCCATAAAGTGTCGTAAAGTGCATTAGAGCGCACTTGGCATAACGCAGCCAACAATAAGAAAACACCAAGGAGCCAGGGACACGACTGACGCGAATGGAGCAACAGCAGACGTACAACGGGGCGTATGAGTGTTTTGCATAAATATTCATGGGTATGGTGGTAAAGGGGCAGAAGAGCGCCCACAAGAATTGCGCCAGCGGAGCGACTAACACCTTCCGGCAAGAACAAAAAAAAAAAACAAAAACAAAGAGACAGAGCAGGAGAACAACAACAACAACAACAACAAGAAAAAGTCTCACAAAATTCCCCAATGTCGTTGCCATTTGCCATTGCTGCTGCCCGATTCCCCATACTTTATGCCCATTTCTGATTGTTTATTAGTGCGGCAAAGTCCAAATAGGGGCGGGTTCCGTTAGGGGAAAAGGCATTTTTAATGCCTTGGTACATTTATTGGCGTGTTTTACGCGCCATAAACTGAAATTCATAAACATTTTTTATGCACTTACATGTGTAAATGTGTTTGGTTCGCTTTTGGGTTCCCACGAATGCATCCTGCCAGAGGCATGGGAGGTGTCTGTGTCTGTGTGGGGTTAAGGGTCTGTGCTCTCCAAAAAGGGGCTAAGAATGGGGTGGACCAAAGGTAACATACATATATATATATATATATATATATATATTTTTTTTTTTTTTTGCCGAGGTGACGGCCTCTTGGTGTGTTGGTTTGTTTGC